AAATTAATTTACATTTTTTCTAATTATTTTAAAAATGTATGTGTGTGTGTATGTATGTGCGCAATAATTGTTCGCGCTCTCACGTCCGCAATTTTTGAGATATCGCCTTCTACTTTGTTTACTTTTTAAATAATTATGTAAACACATTGCGGCTACAACTAATTTTTCAGCTACATCTGGACTTGCACATATCGATTTTCGGAATATTCTCCATCTAGACACGAGGATACCGAATGTGTTTTCAATCGTTCTTCTAGCACGTGATAGACGATAATTGAAAATTTTCTTCTCTTCATTCAGATTCCGTCCTGGATAAGGTCGCATCATGTTTGTCGACATTTGAAAAGCTTCATCGCCAACAAAATAAAAAGGTGTTTTCTTTTCAGAACCAGGTAGATGTGTCTTTCCTTTTGGAATATTAAGAGTACCTTCGTTGAGAGCCTTTCCAAACGCAGATCTAGACAATACTCCTCCATCACTTTCACTACCAAATGCACCCACATCAAACACAGTGAATTTGTAATTGCTATCACAAGCAGCCATTAGCACAATGCTGAATGTCTTTTTATAATTAAAATACAGGGATCTAGAATTTGATGGTGCTTGTATAGTAATATGTTTACCGTCTATTGCACCAATACAATTTGGCATATTCCATGCTGCTAAAAATTCCTGCTTATATGTTTCCATTCGTCTTCTGAAGGAACTTTTATATATACTCCAAGTAAAATATTGGCAATAACTTCACACGTCTCTTTTATAATTTTATAAGCAGTAGACTCTCCTATTCTATACGCGAGAGCTACTGAAAGTACTTGGTCGCCAGTCGCCAGATATCTGTGATAAATATGTTGATATTAAAATAACTATATGAAGCATTTTATTGTATTGTTATTTATCTTTATAATATATACGTATCAGAATAGCACCTAACGTAACTATCTTTTACCTGAGTGTAATCGCAAGCCGCTGTTCTGGACAAATTGGTTTTCTTAGACTTGTTTTTTGTAGATACGGTCGCACCATGTCTAGAAGCTCGTAAAACGTGTCGACATCCATTCGTGTGTATCGGAAGAAGAGATCAGGATCTTCCTTCAACTCCGCAAACAGAGTTGCGAAATCACCATTTTGGCCTCGTCTTTCGTTTATGGGTCGCACCCACCATCTTCTATTAATCCAACGTTTTCTTTTGTTTCTTTTCCATATGGCATACAATCCTAGCCCAAGTACTTGAAAATAGTTAAGAAATTGCAATAAATTATCCTCATCCATTGCAAGAACTCCTATGGCAGAAATGTGGTGAATGCACATTACTATGTATACATACAACAAAAATAAACATGCATAATAACAACTAAATAATTAAACAAATAAAATTTTGTAAGATATATAGGATTTTAATAGAAAAAAGGGCGTAAAATAAACAATTTAATAATTTAATGAACAAATGGCCCCAAGCACACAAAACTTAAGAATACAATATATATTACAGTTCTACTAGAACACTGGCAGTCCCTCGCCAGATATTCTCTCTAGTTCACAGGCAGTCACTTGCCTTTTCTCTCTTGAAACACTAATAATTTTGCTACTGTTCTCTATAACGGCTCGCAACAAACTCATTGTCCTCTCCGGTTTTTCGCCGGTATATTATTATAGGTTGTGTTCGTCAAGCACATGCGCACAAGCAGAAAAGCAGATGATTGGACAGCACGCCTATTGCCAACGAATCATTGTGTCTTGGCATTACATAGATTTCTATTCCCTATTCCTATTCCCTATTCCTATTGCCTGTGCTTTCCTATTGTGTGATAGGCTTAACTTATTCTGTCCCGCTTGGACAGCGCCACCAACGACCATAGACTGTGTCGTGGTATAGATGGCAACTGCAAGTCGCCACATAGGCGATACAAGTGGCGACACCTCTTGGATCGCCTAGATATTATATTGTAACGGGTCGGCGACCCGGAAACGCGTAGCTCCGCTTTTCGTCTAGAGCTTTCTAGATCCTTCGATAAAGATCGGAAGGAGCCGAAGTTCCGGACGAGCGGGGACTCTCCTTTGAGACGAGGAACACGCCGGACGTGCCCTCGGGAGTCGCTCAGTTAGCTAGAGTGTAACAGTGGTTTTCATAGTCAAATACAGATACTCATATAGTGTTAACGGTAGTACATTTATTTCGGCATCCTACTGTGAATAAAACATTACAGACTATCCCTCCGGGGAAAGGCCAATCAAAGTCTTGCAGGATCTCTGAACTGGGATCTAAAGTGATAGAATCTCGGAAGTGAGATCAAGGCTTTTGAAATATCAGAACCAGAAGCTAGCTATACCCTTACAGTTCCTTAAGTAATTATACAGCTTTCCCGTTTGAAAGTCTATTAGGCAAAATAAAGAGAATGCTTCGAAGTGGGAACCGACCACTTGCACAATTCTGCCGACGGCAGCATGAATTGCTTAATGCAGTGTCAAAAAAAGTAACGTTACCACGAACAGTCATAGTATTGAAAACAAGCCTTTCTCGATTTAAACAAACTGTCAAAAAGATCAAATATAAAGGAGCTATATTGACATGTAAAAAACCAAATAATGTGGTATCTCCTACAAATAAAAAAATAATAAAAATCAAGAAAATGTATCACAGACCGCAAAATCGAAATATTATATTGATTGGATATAAATTAAAAATTATGAAACCAATGTTCACGTATCCTTGCAATTCAAGTAAACTTGATATGTGGGAAGTAGTGGAAACTAGAATCAAAACTACATGTTTACTTCAGTCTGTTACTTGTAAAATGGTCTTTTTAAAAACTACAATTCATGAAAATGATGACGAAGAGAAAACGAAAACTTTTGTTATGCCACTTCTTCATATGTGATACATGTATAAGGTTTGATATAAGTATGTACATGCTATCGTGTAAATATCAAACATCCAATATAATATAAAACTGAACTTAACTAAAGATTCTATAATACAGTTATACGTGCGCACAAGCGCGTGAGAGAAAGAGAGAGAGAGAGAGAGAGAGAGAGAGAGAGAGAGAG